GTGTTGTTTCTCTTAGAACCTAGACACTAGATCCAGCCCACATTCAAAAGGAGGGCATTAAACAAGGGCACGCGTCCCAGGAGGCGGGGACCACCTTGGGAGTCAGCCCAACACAGTATCTTTCTGCAACTCTCAGTCGCAACTCGAACTCCAGCACCACCTCCGCATGGGTCCCTTTTCATTACTGCCGCTGCCCAGGGCAGTCAGGTGCTTCTCTCTGTACCTCTTCCTGTAGATAGCAGCAGCAAGGCTGCTCTCGGTGGAGTGAGTTCTCAGTGCGACCCGGGGCAGGAACTGTGTCTTTCCTTCTAGCCCATTTTTTACTGTGAAGATGAACCTCATGTGCAGGGACAGATTAGTTACAAGTTTGCTCAGTATTTTCAGACATCTCCAGTGTTTCCCATATCACAGAATCTCCTTCATGTATGCAGTTCATATTCATCCAGAAAAGGAGACCAAACCCATTAGAACAGTGTCCCTAATCCTGCCAAATTTGAAAGTCTTTAAAACAAACAAAAAAGAGTTATGGCTAACTCTCCTGCCCCCACGTGATTATAGCTGTGCTTTTTAAAAATATATTTTTATTGATTTCAGAGAAGAAGGGAGAGAGAAAAAAGATAGAAACATCAATGATGAGAGAGAATCATTGATCGGCTGCCTCCTGCACGACCCCTACTGGGGATCAAGTCAACACTCCGGGTATGTGCCCTCACCGGGAATCAAACTGTGACCTCTTGGTTAATAGGTTGACGCTCAACCATTGAACCACGCTGGCCAGACTATAGCTATACTTTTAGATTCCTTCTACTTAGAAAATACATAATACCTGAAAGCTACCTATTTTGTTATCTACCTTTCCAAAAGAGGACGAGAGCTATTTTATTTTTTCGGAGGACAGTGCTTAATGTGCATAAGGATGTCTCCCAGTCTATTCACAGCCCCTCAAGGGCCTCTGACCCAAGTTTGGGAACCTCTGAGTTAGATCTCAAGGCAGGGCCAAGTCTCAAATGCCCACAGGGTGCAGGTGGGCAACAGAAATGAGCAGCATAGGCAGAACATTAAAAAAAAAAGTGTATTATCTTCTGTTTCTTTAGTGAAACGTGAAATCCCCTGAGCTTGTCTTTGCTTTCCCAGATTTGACAGATGTGAGTATGAGGAAGTAGGGCTCTACAATTAAAGAAAATCTAAAGTGAGGCATGATGAGGAATGGCACCTGGCACTGAGCCTCGCCAGAGTAACAGTGCCAGAGAGCGGTGGAGACTGTGGCAGACCTGAGAGCACATGGCAGGTCCAGTGGGGGCAGCCATGACTTGGCTCCAACTGATTGTGACCGTATCAGTTCATTTCTCAGGAGACGGTGAATATGCAGGATTTTGTCTACAACCTCCCAATTTTTATGTGTTGGCTCCATTTTTTTAACTCGATAAAAGCCCGGCCTTGATTTCATAGATCCAGTCACAGAAATGTCACTAATTTGCAAGGAAGCTTACCCCAACAGGATCACCATAAAGCAGAGAGACACACGGTGAAACCAGGCTGATCCCTGGGAGACAGATGTGCACAAAAAACCCAAAAGGGTGCCCAGCTTTCGTTCCACAGCCTCCTGTTTAATTTCTCTAAATACTCTAAAATGAAAGGAACCCAGAGAAGCAGATTACAAATGCATTTACCTAAAACGTCATCCCCTCAGGGTCTGTCGTGGCTCCTGACTTTCACCTCCCATTTTTTTCCAAGGTATTTGTTACTTTTGCTAATTTGGTGGTATTTTATTTGCAGGCAAAATTAACTTGTTCAAACGTCACTCACATTCCAGTGTCTGCTCCACAGGACTTTGTAAAATCCATTTGGAGTCTTTGATCTCATTACTTGACCATGAGTATAGTAGAAACATTAAAGTTACAGTTAGCGATCCGTATACCTCCCATTACTGCGTGTCCCCGGGCTGGTGAGGAGGGCTGCAACCCCAGTAGCAGGCCAACCTTCTGCTTTGCACATTCGCTCAGACCCAGGGACTCTGTTTTCTCTTAAACGCCGTTAACAGTCTCTTTGATTTTTATTGGTCACAAAGGTTATGTTTGCCTTCCCAGCGATCTCACTCTCGTCCACGAGTGCCACAATAAACGGCAACAGGCATCCAAAAGGTGAAACCACTCAACCCACAAGCATGTCCTTGACCTACATAAAAATTTCGTAGGTCCTGTTGTCTCTCTTTTACACCGTCTCAGAAGAAAACGCTGAAGTTGGCTTGCTTGGTTTTTCCGATTGTTAACCATAAGGTTCCCTTCTGTTAGTTCAGATCACCGAGGAAGCAGTGATGTCAAGTGTGTTAATATGGTCAGCCTCTTCATCAATAGACAAGAGTCTGAAAGGTCATCTTGCCAGCATCGCATAGTCTCTGGATCCCGAGTTGAGGACAGCTCAGAAAGGCACTCGAGTGGGTATCAGGAACAAGGCCAGATCTTGTCCCGTCATTATGTTTCCAACCTCGTCACTGTCTAGAGTTCCTATTACCGTTCTCACTCCAAGGCCAATAATCTGAAAAGCTCCATCTACCGATCTCTATTTACAAAGGGTGGTTGTCTTTCCTGGTCGTTGAGCACATATTTTCACTCAGAGCTTTTGAGCCACGTGAGAGAGCTAGTATTACCTAAGTAACTATAAATTCATCCGAAAGCGAAGAAACAAGCACTTAGATACATGGTAGAGTCTCCTTAGGAATCCCTCGTCGTATGTACCGATGACAACTCACAGACCCTCGTCACTACCTTGGAAGGTCCTGGTTGGGAACCACCCCATGAAATGTTCAGATTCCCAATCTCGCTAAAACCCTTTTGAGTTGCAAATTTCATCTGTCGCCTCACAAGTGAAACGAGTCCCGTTTCTTGGTGGCCGAGGTGTTCCCCAGACTGGCTTTTCCACCTGGAAAATGCCATTTTTGCAAAGAGCTGTCATGCTTCCTGTCCTTTGGCGTATGATTTAGCTGCTCGGCCAACGTACAGGCTGCTCTTGCTCTCGGTGCTGGTGATGTGTGTTTTTGTTTTATTAAATCTTTAAAACACCGGGCTTGTTTATGACCCCCATATATTTCTTTGTTCTTTTCCATGACTGTTTAGATCACAGATTTTTTTTCTCCCTCTGTGGAAATACCAGTGCCTTTCCAAAGAACATCACGGTCTCCAGAATGGCTGCCTCACATGATGGGCGAAGGCTCTGCGCTCTAGGTTGGGTCTGCGAGGCTGTGACTGGGGGCTGCTTGGTGGGTGGGAAGGTTTGAGGCTTCTCAGATCCGGTCCCGAGACGCGCAGGTCTTCCTGCCGTTCCCAGACCTGTTTTGACAGATCTGAGATCATTTGATAACAATCACAGTGCTTTTTGTAAAATAAAGACACCAAATAGTCTATGTTCCAGTTGCAGACAAATGTTTGTGATTGAAAGTTACGAAGCAGCCCTCAGTTACATAGAAGCAAGTTCTCATCCAGGTGTGAGCTTCGCCTTGTGTGTAGGTCAGCACGGGACCCCACACCCTGTGCCAAAGCAGTCCGAGTCTTCTGAACCCAAAGGAACCTTCCTCAGAGACGCTGAGGAGGAGGAGGGGAGGGAGCATCTGCAGCCAGGGCTGCATTCAGGCAAACGTCACAGGGCCTGGTGCTGCAAGGCGTCCCGTCCAGACGTAGCTCCTGCGTCCCCTAGAACAAGTTCAGTGGATGAGTTCCCACCTCATGGTTCTGTCCTCGCACGGAGGGGATGCAAAATGTTGTCATGAATCTTGCCTTCAACTGGGCTACTTCGCTGATGTGGATCCCAAATAAACCAGTCCGTGACATCCAGCTGAACTTGCTCCTGGGCACACAGTATCTCACAGCCCGTCCCGTCCTGTTAGTTTTGGCAAGAACGCCGCCGCATATAATAAATCATGGAAGGAAAGAGCTTTCTGGCCTGGCGTGGTTCAGCCTGCTGTAACGTCAGAATACAGAAAGCAGTTCTGTTTTTAGACATCCTTTTACTAACCCAGCATTCATAATTTATGATTCCACTGTAAAATTCCTGCAACACGACACCGAAAGTAGTGCTGCCCTTTAATTAAGTACCTTCAGTAGGGAAAACGTGAAACTGATGTGCAAAACCTCTCTGTGTGCGCACGGTGATGGATCGCGGTTGCATCTTTATGAACCCAGCCTGGAGGTCTCGACTTCCTGAGGGGTGAGGAATCCGCAGGGCGACTTCCTGAGCCTGCTGCTAGCCAAACCCGAGATCGTTCAGAGGCACCGTTTAGGAAAACTGAGGTTTTAAGCCGGCGTCTGCCTGTGCTCTGTCACAGGTCCGTGTGCCATTGTTCCTGTTTTCGTAAGAACCTACGACCACATTTCATGTCGTGTTTGCACGTGGAGAGGTGGGAGCGCAGAGAATGCAGGGCCGGGGAGAAGGTCTCTATGAGGTGTCCCCTTGTCCTGTGGACTTTTTTTCTTTTAAACTGAAAAGCAGGGATGACAGAAGGGACTTTGGGCCCTACTGATGCACGGATAGAACATGACAGCCCTAAGAGGACCTTGGGCTGTTCCATTTTTTTTAATTATTTTTTTTTTTAGTGTTCTTTTTCCTCAGTTGAAAATAGCTAAGATAATTTTTCAGAATACTTCTGAACATAAGAAGACTAAAATCCCAAGCCGGTGCCTTCGGCTCACCACTGTTTTGACTTGGGCTTTATCCTCCATCAGCTAAGTGGTCACATAGCCCAAGCCCATAGCATCTTCCTGAAAGGTAACGAGGGCAGTGCATACATCTGACATACTTCACGTTCCTTGAAAGAAAGGCAATAAATGTGCCTTGCATTAAGTTAACTCTTCGGTGTAAGTTCCGCTACTTTCGGTCATTATGTAGCAACCGAAATAAAAACATCGTGCAATAACGCTGTGTAACCATCTTATCCGTGCTTCGGAGATTCCTGTGTGGGGAGCTACACTGATGCCATGCGTGTGTATTGTTTTCTCGTGTTTGTGCAGATTCGGGCCGGGCCTGGTCATCTACTGGTACGGATTCATCCAGGAGCTGGACTGTAACCGGGAGAGGGGCATCCTGCTCAAAGCCTGCTTCCCCACGGACATCGTCACCTTGTGCCACGGCGCCGCTGCGCCCTGACGGGCCCGCACCAGAGGCTGGGAGGGGAAGGTGGATCCGGAAGCAATTTCACTTCCCTGCAGCGTCAACTCCTGGCAACATCTGCCCTGAACTCCAGCTGAACCCTTGCTGCCCGTGGTCACACCACTGCCTCTTTAGACAAACATAGCAGGAGTCTCTGTTTTCCTTCATCCCTGGCTGATGTGAGCAGCCAAGAGCTACAGACACAACCCACTCATTGTCAGCGTTTCTGTCTCTGTCAAACAGTTGGTTTATAGATAGTCATAATCTGTCTTCCTTCCGGATGGCTTCTCCCTGAATACTGAACAAACGGGAAAACGTGGGGACCCCAAGGTGTGATTTTTCAGTGCTCCTCCCAGTCTCCGAATCACCCTCTTATTTTTTCCCCCCTAAGATTCCTCCCCCTCCCCGCTTCTCTTCATGAAACCCAGACAGACACCCAGGGTTGCATGACCGCGTGGCAGCATCCAGCCGGGTCCCAGCAACGCTGAGGCCATGGTCCGACGCCGAACCCTCGCCCTCACCTAAGACTTATTTGAGCACCAAACATTTCTCATTTATCTCATTCGAAAGTATCCGTTACATTGTGTCTAGAAACCGCACTCCTCCGCGGGCGGGGGGCGGAGCGGCGCGGCTGGAGCGAGGTGCCAGCCGAGAGGGGAGTTTATTTTTAAAACGTGGCTAGTTCTCAGTGATGTGCGATCGTATTTTTATGAGTAAAATTCTTTACAAGTGCGTTTGGTGCACTGCTTTTCACCTGCATTTTATACCACGTAATTATAAAACGCTCATAACGGGGGCATTAGAAATACTCAGCTTGGAAGGAATGCAGTGCGCTGGACGTGAACCTGGGACGATTTTCAAGAAGCAGAATCAGGCAGAGGGTGTATCTGTTCACTTTATTTAGTCACCTTTTATGCTGCAAATGAGATTTCACTCTATAGTTTACATCAGTAAACTCATTGTAAATCTCTCTTTGGGGAAGTTAAAGATTAATGTATGCCCAGAAATGTATTTAGTAAAATACATTGACAAAACATGACTTTGGTAATGTTGAATTGGCGAGTTTGGAGCTATTAATAAAGGTGTAAATTTTTACAAACATGTGTAAGTTACCTGCATTGCTTGGTTCCCTCACAAAACTCACCATGCCGTTAGCACCCCGTTCATTTTGTACCTAAAAGGGTTTCCCAAGTCTGCCTGCTTCTTTTCCTCTGGAAAGACACAGGCGTGTCAGGTCCGACCAAGCGGATTTTAGCTCTGCAGGGGTTGCCTTCAACAAAAAGGAACGCGAAAGGCGGTGAACTGGTAAACAGGTATCAGGCAAACTTCTCTTTCCATGTAAAGTGCCCCATGCAGGTTTTGTGAGTGAAATAGAACGATTCGAAACCAGTGCTGTTGTCTTGATACACACAGTCACTCACACACACACAAAACTTGTTAAAGGCCGTTTTCATGGCCTGCTCTAAGCTGCTTTTTCTTCTTTCGGAATAAATCACATTTACCTGCAGAGATGTTGAAAACCCTGTTAAACCCTTGTCGGGGCTTTGTTTGTTTTACATTAAACAAATGCATGGTGAGGGTACACAAGTTAAAACATAGAGGTGCTTGCATTTCGTATTCCTTCTACCCGGTGCCCTGACATAATGTGTTATGAGAAGGTATCCGTGTTCCCCCGCAGAGGCCCGCCTCCTCTTTATGAACAAGGTTTCCAAATTTGGCTCCTAAAAGTGGGAGAGAGACCAGCAGCCCACTGTGCACACTATGATGAAGTTACAAGAACTAAGCTCTTCCCGCAGGAGAACTAACGGGATGGTTATACCTACTCCTCTTCGGGCAAGGGCGTGCGGGAGGTGGGGAGGGGGGAGTAAGGTTTCCAGACTGGAAGCTTAAAGCTTGCGCTTTCTCTTTCTGTTAGAAATACTTACCTGTGTGATATCTGTGCGTGTTCTTTACTTGTTTGTGTGTTTAGTTTGGACAATATAAACATCAGCCCAGGAAAGCAGACACAAGATGTCACCTTTTTTTATTGCCGTCGTCATTAGCGCATTAACATGAAAGCGGATCTTGTTTGATGCAGCTCTCCGCAAACTGCGCTAACGAATGTGCCAGCCCAGAAGCAGGCGTGTGTGCAAACGTAAAACTAAATGATGCTCTCGCTAGCATCCATGGGCTTGCCAAGCATCTGCTCTCCCAAATGAGGAAGAGACCGGCTTGGAGCGTGGCACGGGCCCAGCTCCGAGCAAAGCTGGCCCAGCACTGGTATGTAAGGTGACCCCAAAGACTGCTTCCCCCATCTCAAACAACCCCCTCAAAACATAATGAGGATCATTTTTTTCTTTTGCCTCCTAGTGAGGGATATGTCAACTCTTCTAACGACTCGGAAAAACACATATAAGCCGAAACTGGTTTGGCTCAGTGGATAGAGCGTCAGCCTGCAGACTGAAAGGTCCCAGGTTCAATTCCGGTCAAGGGCATGTACCTGGGTTGCGGGCACATCCCCAGTAGGAGATGTGCAGGAGGCAGCTGATCGATGTTTCTCTCTCATCGATGTTTCTAACTCTCTATCCCTCTCCCTTCCTCTCTGTAAAAAATCAATAAAATATATTTAAAAAGCACACACACATATAAAAGGGGAGCCTCAGGGTCCCCAGTAGAGCTGGCTCTCCAGGGGAAATAATTCTCTCTCAGCCATAGGTGTGGGTACCTGCTCCTTGTCTGCAAGGCTTGATTCCACTGAAGAGTCCCAGGTGGGCCACGCTGATGAAGGCACAGGCCCCGTGAGCAGGTAATCCCCTCACGGAGGAGCTGCACCCATTGTGTTCTTTCCTCTCTGGAGCCAAGATACTGTGGATGTCTGCGCTCTATAACCTGCTCCCCTACGGACCTGTGTTCCGATGGGATGAAATCTTTACTGTCTTCTTCCCCTCACTTCCCACCTCTTCCCGCCCTCTGCCCCCACGCTAGCCTGTGCCAGTTTCCTCTCGTGCATCCTGACTTTGTCACTACTCTTCTCTAGGAAAGATCCCAGGACAAAACTTCACCCCATCGCCGTCCTCACCCACAGGTCTTCGGAGTAAGGGGGGAGGGGGGGAGCAGTTGATCTCACCCCTGTGGGAAGAGCATTCCTCAGCACCCTCCAGCTGCCAGAGTATTCATTCCAGGGCATTGTGGCACCTGAAAGATGGTACAACTTTTAACTAAGGTAATAAACTTTGTGGGGCCCCGTATGGTTTTAGGCCATCAGTCAATGTTTTGGTAAAAGGAGGAGAAGGAACGAACATGTGAGGTTCGCAGCCACGTTGAGCCCGAGTGGTGATGCTCAGTTGATTAAATATAAATGGAGACAGTGCAGTGCCCCTAGGACTGAGTGAGAGAAGCATCCCAGCTGTTGGTCTTGGGGCGGCTTGCCCGCCTTCATGTGATCTCATGGGAGCAAGTTGCCGCGAAGCATAACTATTTTCTGTCAAGGATGGGGGAGACCATCTCCCCAGGGGCACATTCTCAATTAGGGTTAAGGGACTAGCCAGCTTAACCAGAGAGGAAACCCAAAGGCAAGCCCGAACCTGTCTGCAGAGTCACCCTAGGTTAGGCAGGATCCCGTGCGCCCGTTCGCATCGCCTGGCCATGCTTCCCAAAGCTAACCTTCCTATATAAGGTCAGCACGCCCCGAACCCGTGTCATGAAGAACATGCCTGGATTCCCAAGATTAAATAAGGAAGATGGAATTATGAATTAAATAATGACCAGAACAGCTTGGGTTCCCCTGTGTGTTTCACTTTCCTGCTATTGTTTTGAACGCGGCTGTGAGACAAAGAGCTGCTTAGGTCAAGCACTATAAATTACAGTTTCCATACAATAGTAATCCACTCAAATGATTTCAAAGCTTGATCAAAGTACTTCAAAAAGACTTTTAAAACTTTTCCACAGAACGAGGGGGAGGGGACGTGCTCATTTGATGCCTTAATTTGTTTCAGCCAGTATAGCAGAGTCTGATCTTGGCGTCGTACCTACTTTATATAAAGTCCGACTCATTAAATCCAACGTGTGCTTATGGCTTTATGTCTAAGTGAAGGGGACTTATGTTTCCATCGCGTTAATTGGAACAACTAGACATTTGGAGTCACTCGTCAGAAAAAGATACCGCAGTGTCATCTCAAAATAAGCCTAATTTGACCATATTTAATTGCAAGACTCAAGGTATTTAAGGTTGTCTAATTCCCTGTGCTTAGAATAAAATGGGTATCGGTGGATTTATGTGGCATTTTAACAATAATCATGGCAACAGATGTATGTTGTTTTTCGTTCTTTTTCCCTCGACACGTGGATTTATCTAGAACTGAATCGTATCGTAGGCGAGGATGGTGAAAAGGACCCTCGTGGCGATGGCAAAGATGAGCAAGTCCCAGGCCCAGCTTTGTATATCGTGTGGGGCCGCTGCCGCGAGTTAGGCTCAGCCAAGGTCCAAGGTACGTCGTCAGGCTAATCTTTATTTTTTAAAAGGAAGGTCATTTTGAAATGCTGACATGAAATATAACCAAGTCAATTAAGTAATAACAATTGAAGTTCAGAGTTTAATTGAGGGCTGAACAAGCAGCCAATGACCATTAACCTGAAGCGGTCATGAATTCCCTTGGAAACCACCCTGGTTAAAAGCATTTCTAGAATCAGCAGCATTGTAAGAATTGTGTGTCATTTTTTATATTCCACACAGATACAATCAGAAATGATTTTGTGTCTGTAGTAGACTTTCTATTTGTTTGTTTAATTTTAATTCAAATATCTATTATAAGGCAAATCCAAATTTAGATCATCAAAACCACCTCAGCAGCAAACCACAGTTTGATAAGTAAACCGAAAGTATAAGCGCCCTTCATTGGATCGCACCACATTCATCTCAATTGTTGACTTCTTTCTGTCTGAACTTGTTTAATGGCAAGATTTCTGACTAGAGTGTGAGCTCCATAGAGTAGAAACTATATTTATCTTGTTCGCTGCTCTATTCCCCGCTAGCTAACAGAGTTCCTGGCACAGAGCAGGTGTCCAATACATGTTGAATGAACAAATAAGTGACTGTTAAATTTATATTAAATATGTTCTCACTTACTTGCATGAAAGAAATAATTGGAACCTTTTAACTGATTCTTATTTTCTTCAGCTGAAAATTGGGGTTATTTACTGGAATCAGAGGAAAGCATTGTATATGTTGATGTCAAAAAATTAATTACTTTACAAACCTACAAAATCTGAAATAAAGCAAAATTATTTTAGAATGTATATTCAATTTTAAAGGGAATTCATGGACTTTCATTGCATTTATCTTAAAGTTAGCTTTAGAACATGGTTGTTTATCCAATGTATTGCTAAATAAACTAGAACATTTAAAACGCTTAATTTTGTTTCTCTTCTTTAAAATAACAAGCCTTATCTTTATATTACATTTCAATTTAAGAAACAGTTCTCTCTCATCACTGATGTTTCTATCTTCCCCTTCTCCCTTGCTCTCTGAAATCAATAAAAATATTTTTAATAAAAATAAAATAAAATGCCGAGTTGATGGCAAAGTGCTTCCTGGCCATGGAGGTGCCTGGCTGGCTGGCTG